TATAATAATAACAATATAATAATAATAATAACAATAATAATAATAATACAAAAACATTAAATTGTTGTCAGCTAATGTCATGATTAATTGAGTAATCGACTTCACATCCTCGTGATGATATGTAGATTTATCGTTCTTGCCTTGTGCACACCAAGAATAGGTTGTTGTGATTGAGTGGTATACTTTGTATCATGTTGTTGTAATTGATTGGTATACCTTGTATCATGTTGTGTTATGTACGTGATGGTCTTGATGATTCCTGCCTGCTAGAAGCAGTTGGGAGAATAGGTATATTGTTTATTACACATTTTTTGTTTTTGCTAAAATAAATTTATTTATCTTTGGCAATTGATTTTGAAATCGGCATGACTTAGATATTTGAATAAATGATATTTTAATTTTTAGGTTGTTACCGTTATAGGTGAAGATACTTGTTATTGTGTTAAAACGTCATTTTGATAATGTCCGAACATTGCGTGAAGAGTTCAGAAGTGATTGATTTGAAAAAAAAAGAAGAGAAATACAACAAAGTGACAGCTTTTATTGTCTTGAATAATACATAATGGCTTAGTTTTTAACTGACAGAGTTACAATGCTGACGAATCTGGTGTGAGTCCATAATGGAATAATTTTTTAAAATTTGACTGCTTGTGTTGTATCCGTAGCTCGCCTTCCAGTTTCAAAATGCACACCAAGTAAGAAAAATGAAAAACTCAGCTGAGTAGATGTCACTTGGGACTTAATTGAAGTATTAGTAAAGAGTTTATCGGCCCTTGCAACACAATAGATTAATAAGACAATATAAGTGCCGAAGCTTAGAGGCTTACAAGTAAAACAAGATAGTAACAAACACAAAACACATACAAAAAAAACAACAACAACGGAGAGAGATAAGGACGATAGCTGTATGATAGGAAAGAAGAGGAGCAAACAACACCAGAGCACCTGCCAACCACCCGCTAAAACTAAAATGTTCGTTTACCTGTGTTGACGCAACGACTTTCGCACTCTTCCTCGGTGTCGAATCGGTTCTCGTTTCCTCCACAGCCGCCGTAGTAGAAGCGAAGACAGTACTTCCTCTGAGAGTCATAGTACCATTTGATGACGTAATCCGCGCAGTTTCCGCCGTCTTTCGTCTGCTGGCAAACTCCTGAAAATCCACAGGCAAAATGCTATTATTATATAAAACAGCAAATACTGAGCAGGGATTCATAATTATGTAGAAGAACACAACCCGCACTCCAGGGTCGTTTTATAAAAAATAAAAATAAATCAAAAGTATATTGTTGAATATATTTAATTTGGTTCTGTTTATGAAACTGATACGAGCAACAACAACAACAACAACAACGACGACAACAACAACAACAACAACAACAACAACAACAACAACAACAACAACAACAACAACAACAACAACAACAACAACAACAGCAATAACAGCAACAACAACAACAAGGGAGCCGGTGGAACTGGCGAAGAGCACACTCTTCGGGGCTCCGAACATTTCGAATGGATAGGCTACCACACACACACACACACACACACAACAACAACAACAACAACAACAACAACAAAAACGGCGACAACAACCGCAAGAACAAGAACGACAACAACGATAACAGCAATAGCAGCCGCCACAACAACAACGAAAAGCACAACACAAACAACAACAACAACAACAGCAAGAACAAAGTGAAAGTAGTCTGGGAATTTTTACTAAAGTAAGGACAGTCTTCATCCATGTACAGGGTGATCCCCCAAAAAACTGTACAACTTTTTTCTGAATATCTCGCACAAAAATTGTTCTAAAATGTTGTAATTTGGAACAGACATAATTCATTCTAAAGAAATTTGTTTGACATAAAAACCACGAAGAAGAAACTTGTTTTGGAAACGGAAATGGCTTAAAAAGAAAAATGCACTCATAAACGCAAAGTCCACCAATTTTTTAAAATCTTGTAAAGGAAGTCGTGAAAAGATTGGTTGACCTTTTTCTTTACTTTTTCTTTGACATTTAATTTTCCACCCCTGTGACACTTTAACAACATTTAATTTCGTTTACAGAGTTAAAAAACCCATAACTATTTCATTCTGAAATTCCCGGAAGCAGTGCTCTACATGCCCTCCTTTGAACTCGACACATTTTTAACGCGTCGTTCGACATGTTCAATGGCGCACAAACACAAGGACCTGCTAAACCATGAGTGTGTTCAGTATGAAGTGGTTTCTAGAGACAATAGGGAGTGGGGTGCCCAACAGACAGCATTTTTGGAGTGAACATCCCGCAGGGTGAAAATGGGCTTTGCACCAAACCAAATGTCACCTAGGAAATGATCCTGCTTTTCAAAGCAATCGAGGAATCATGAACACATTGTCATGCTCAGATCCATGTCATCTCAGCCCAGCGAAGATACAAATAGTACAGTCGTAGGTTAAGATCTGCCATGAGAATGCAGACTGTTGAGGTGTAGGAAAGTCCTAGCTGCAGATCGTCTAC